TCTTCCTCCAAAGGTCGGGTGTGCTTGAACGGTGCGTCGCTCAACGTGCACGGTTTCATTCCCTCTCTCGAACAAGTTGAAGCCCATGAGCTAGACAACGAACTTGTATCACCTTCAGCTGAGAACTTCTGCCTTCCTCACCAGCTATATGTACCCCCGTCGAGGTAGAAGCCGCGGTTGTTTGTTCGTTGGCAAACATCTCGTCAGCAAGTGTCTCGTTAATTTTTCTGACCATGGTCCCATTGTTAGGCGCATTATCTGCAGTAATTGCCCACACCTTCGAGATAAGAGATTCATCCATTGCCCTCAGTGTATCCATTAAATGATCGGCAAGCCGAGACGCCGCTATGAGGAATACTCCACCCGTGTGAATCCAACCACTACGGACTTGATAGCCCATTCGTCATTGATCCAGTGTAACGTCACGACCATATACCCTTTTTGAGCCGCCGACGTCCACATGTCGGTTGTGGCAGACACACGACACGACGCAATTTCTTGGAGCATTGTGTGCCGGGCCAGTTCCTTTTCACATGTCCAGCGTTGTATGACCTTCTTGCGCACCGTTTTACGAGTTGGAGGCGTGTAATCGGCTTCAAGAATCTTACAAAATGATCGAAACGCTTTCTTTTCCACCAAATTAAACGGAAGTGAGTTCATCACGATCAAGTCCACAAGCTTATCATCGGCCGCAGCTTTGTCAAAAGTGCGCTGCTTTACAAAACGTTCAAAACCAAACGCAAGTAACTTCGTTTGCTTGGAATCCATTGCAGCCACTGAAGCCTCGTCGTCTCCTCCGGAATATTCGTCACGATGGTACCGTTTAAGATGGCGGCGAAAAGTGGTGTGTGCAATTGATGACCATCGACAAGCTGAGTCTGTAGGGCACAGCAAGCAGGTATAGGAACCTTCATCGTTCTCACGAATGAAAGACCAAATGTCGGAACGCTTGTGACTGTGAGATCGCCGATATCCACTCGATGAAGTGTTTGCGTTCGACGAAATGTTTATGCTCGACTCGTCATGAGCGTCCATTGATTCTACTTATGTGGTATCTTGCCTACGTAGTAAAGCCAAAGTAGAGAAGTGAAATCAGCTCATTACCTTTCGGCGTGCAGCCTTAGTCTGTCCCACGGAGGTAGCTTCTCGACAGGAATTTGGTGCAGGTGCAACTACTGATCCGATCCGATCGGATCGAATCAAGCCATACAAATTCCAAGTATAAAAACTTCAATCACACAGAGATCATGGCGCAAAATTCCAACCTCAACGAAGGGAAGTTCGGTCCCAGAAGTGGCGAGCCAATGCCGTGATGTGCTGGTAGACACTGCCAGGGAGAGGTATCACACTTGGACTTGAGCTTCGAGGAGCGGATAGGTCGGGCGGTGAAGTGGTAAGCGGTGGGGCGTACCACGACGGACAGCGCGGCAATGATCTTGATTCAAGTACATGTACAAGTCGCCAATCAAGACTCTTGATGAGCGACTTGTACATGTTCGGCTCGCCATGGACAGCTTCACAGCGGGACGTGGAAGTTCCCGGGCACTTCGATGAGCTGGGTGGTGCTCAACAACAAGCAGGCAGAAGTGCTGGTACGACGTGGCTACAGCGTTGCAGGCGTGTCGCCGACGCTGTTGGATATATGCTCATTAATTTTCCGCCGGAGTCTGCAGTGGGCTAGCCGCAGACGTAATCGGTGGCGTAGTTTTCGGATGTGTTCCGGGAGTCTCTATTGCTGGTATTCCGCGATAAACGAGATGCTGCACTGAATATACGGAAGGTGCGTCTGCTGACGATTTCATGACGGCGTCCCGACGGGTAGCGTAGAGCCACACACAATAAAATTCGTCACTTTCCTCTGCCTTAGGCTCCTACGAAAAACACTTTCTAGCAGAAAACGTCTTGCTAGGACTCCTGCTGCAGGAAAACTCATCCTGGAGACGAACAACACGTACGGTACGACAATATGACCTCAAATATTTAATGCAGAACGTCTTAAATCGTTTCATAGAATCGTAAAGGTTTTAAATGTCATTGGGTAGACTCTATACCTACAAGAACGTATTTCTTGTGAATCCCAGCACAAGGGACTATATCATTTTTTGTGTTTCTCCTAGAATCTTATACATTTTTGATTGGATCCGATCGATCGATCAATCGGATTCAATCGAATAAGATCGAAACGAATTCAACTTAGTCAGACGAGACATATCGATTGATCCGATTCAATCCATTTCCCAAGCCTATTCCGAACACGGTTTTTGAAAAAATTTCTTGAAATTTAAATATGTGGATCACAAAAAAACTACCTAAATAAAATGGCCATTTTAAGGTGAAGCAAACACTCGATATCATTTTTGCTGCTGAAGTTGCACGGCCTCGAACGCATATTTACGTAGCTGCTTTTCTATCCCTCCAAAGCTCAGGTCAGAGAACTTTTGAGTGTAAAAGTGTGGGTTCCGATCCAAATCCCGTCGCCCGTAGCAACGTTGCCACTTCGGAAAACCTGGTAACCCACTCTCACCGTACACCATATACTCTGAGCGCGCCGACGTGTTGCGGAAGGACAACAAGTGCGTCCAAATCTCAGGATCCGGTCTGCCATCGTCCAGTAAAGCTTCGATCCCGACCAGCGATAGCTTTTTGTCGAGTGCCTCAACCAGCTTGGGGTGCAGTTTCCCCATCAGTTTGCGTTGATTTCTATGCAGAAAGAGCACATTGCCATTGGTATCATGTTGCACCATCGTCATTCCGCAAAATGACCATCCGATCACCGTCCCGGCAATAGAAGGCGGAGTCTGGACCATGAAGAATGGAACCTCGAGCTTCAGCCACGCGAAACGAAACAGATCCTTGTCACCCCATGCAAGTCGCTGCAGCTGAAAGTAATTGGGCTGGTGGAAAGCGTAGAATGATACGAGGTGGAGTGGGACTGAATGGCGACGACGATCGATGAGCAGCTGTCCACTTTCTTGCTCAAACATATCGACAAAAGGCATGTCCAGTAATTGCCAGACGACGGATTCAGAGCTAATGTAGAACATGGTGTTCTGCGGATGCCAATAGTCCGGCCAAAAGACTGCGCCCATCTTGACGAACTCTGGCGTCTTAAAAAGAAACTTGGATCTTTCACTGGAGCATTGTCGGCGTCCAAAAACAGCACTTCCTCGAAGCTGCTATGGTAAATTGCAAATATTTTCGATTCAAACCGCATCGGTTTGCCATTCGTATTGATCTCTCGAAGCATAACGTCGCCAGTAGCTGTCTGGTTAAGTGTATGTAGTGGTGCAAGCGATCCCGGCGTTTTGCGAATTTCGTCGGGGGAAAACCAGATCTTGATTGGTAGTTTACAGCCCAACACATCGCGGAGTAGGCGAATCGTGGCATAAGCGCTAGCTACCAATGCGGGATATACCACCATGACAATTCCTTGACTGGGAGTTGACAATTTAGATTCCACATTTGGTAAAGCGAAGCCAGGCTTCTTTGCCTGTGCTACAGCCTGCTGCGCTAGAGCTCGAAAATTCGCAAAACCTGGTGCGTTAGATCATCGGAAAACGGCACCGCCCTTTGTATTTGCGCAGGAACGCTTCATGACGCGGAACCTTTCCTTGGTATCAATGTCTTCGACTTCGCAGTAGCCTGAAGTTTGTTTTGGGATCAAGTTACTACAGTTCAAATCACGTCGCTGGTTACGGGGGCCGTCTGCATTGCAGCCGTTCGTCGCTCTCCATCCGATGCACTTGAATCGGCGAATATTCGCTCTACTTGAAGGCAGATCCATCAACGCGACGTCAGACCCTCAAAGCTTGACCGACATTCCGCTGCCTCGAGAAATAAGCTCGTCCGTCGCCCTCAGATAAGACGCGTTAGATTCCGCACTTGCATTGCTATGGTTACCAGCGAGATGAAATGCCACTGCATTGGTAGCCATATGAGACGTGAAGAAGCGCTGCGTCGTCGAGCTATTGGTTGTCCAAAACATTATTAGGCACCATACTACCGTGCATGCTGTCAAGATGCCGAGCAATAAGATCATGTAACGCCGCTCTGACACCGCAGCTATTAATAATGGCGCGGACTTCATGATGGAGGTCTTTCTTGTGCTTCGGCTATCCTTCCCCGCGATAACTTTTCGAGAATCACGAGTCGTGATGGATTTGAATCTGATCTGGCTACATTAAGTGAGATTCGGATGTGTAGATTCAAGCCTGTTCCCATTTGTTGCATTGTTACAGTACATGTACTTGCAATGCAAGTTGCATTGCCTAAAAAAGTGGGCTCACTGGACATCGCCTTTTGTTTACAAATGCACGTAATATTGGCACGGCGCTGTCCATCACCATCTTCATTTTTGGTCCCACAGAGACAACCTTTGATTATTAATACCAGACTATTCGAGGGAGGCACAAAACCGACACGTACAGTGTTCAAACACGAACTTATTACAGTACATGTACAAGAAATAATGCGGCGGAAACAGTCATTCGTGCAGGCTTCGTAGTATGAAGTTTAAAGTGCATTGTAATACATAGAACTTTCCTACTATAATAGGTGCTACTAATATTGTACAAGTAGATAAGTATACATTACTGACATTTTGCTCAACTTGCTCGGAGCAATTTTCCAAATTTATAATTTTAATATGAGTAATAAGCTTATCTTCATTTGTTGAAAATGACTCCTAATGAGTACATTCCACAATTTAAAATTACTACAAAAATAGATGCTCATATTAACATGAACGAGTTGTGATCATTTTCGATGCTACTTTCACATACCGGTATAACTAAAAAGCAATATTAATACAGCGTTAACTCTTCTTCATCGCCTGGGCAAGTGTTATTATTCTAGGCTCACCATATGCTGGAGACGGAGCAATTTGTCTGTTGTAAAGTCGAACGCCAGAAGAGCTCGGCTCATGTCGCTGCCAGCGACTCGCTGGAAAGGTAGACATAAGAATTCGTGGCTGTCATGTATTAATACATACTTAAGTATGTAGCAAAACCATCAGCTGACAATTGGACTCCCACATGCCATGGTATTATACATTGCCAAGCCGGCGACACATAAGCCTTAATTATTACGAGATTCAGCTGCGTCGAGCTCAATTTATTTTTATGGAACAATTTATTTGAATGAAAAGCTGCTGAAAATACCTGGTAAAAGAAATCTGTGGTTGTTGGTCTGGTACCAGACCTAAAATAAAGTGCTACTGGCAATTTAGAGTCTATTTGAATGAAATTACATTTTGTTGCATCAAATATCTTTTTTACAATCTAATGAGAAAATGCCTTAACCCCCCAACTGTATGAGACACGGTTCCGCGAAAAGCTTAACGTGTCTGAGACACGTTAAGCTTTTATACTTAACGTTTGTATAGGACCATACAAATTGTCAGTCAAGAAGGGATAGGCATATTTCCCATCTTCCCGCACAGCAGTACATAGCTATGCGTGTGCCTTGAACTTGGTTTTTCTAGAAAATTAGAAGACACAGGTTTGATGGGTGTCACACAAATCAGCATAGAGGATTGCAGGTGGAATTCTGCGCCACCCATATCTCGGTCATTCGAGAATTTTCGCCGCTGCCGCTCAGATGTCCGGGTTCAGAGGCCGATGGCGAGAGCTTCTGAAGGAAGGATGGAAATCAAAGGCCCCTACGGGCCTGTCAAACGACTACACGTACCTTATGCCGGGGAAGACGAAGAAGGACGTACGTGGCGTGAACTTTTTCGTTGGAGAGGCTGCGTTGATGGCATATTTGGACCGTATCGCCTTGGGTAAGTAGTATCGCCTTTCAAGGTCTTTGTGGGGACTCTAATACGTGTGCTTTGCTAGAGGAGATGAAGAAAGCTACCGCGGCGAAGCAACAAGCAAAAGCGGCAGCGACTCAACCTACTCCGGAAAGTGGACAGCCTGAAACCGATGTGCCTGATAGACAAGATGGTGCGTTTGATCTTAATGTGTATGTACATGTTATGATTCTAACGCTATCGTGTATATAGTTGCTGACCGAACTGTCAGTCCAGATCCAGGCACGACGAAGACTGTTTGTCCGATCATTCAAGCTACCTCTCCACACCTGGCAGAGAGTGATTTGGGCAATTCAGTTGGTGATGAAAACGGTAAGCAGTTCGAGCACATTGCTTGTCACCTGTGAGCTACTGCTAACGCTAACACACCACTCCCTTATAGGTACAGACGAGTATCCCAATTGTAGTTTACATGCTGAATTCGATGCTGCTGCTACATCTGGCTCAGAGTATGCCTGCTCTGAGCCTGATAGCGACGGAGAAAGCACGATGCCAGGTGAAGAAGGGCAACCGGCCGCCATACCACCTGAAAAAGTGCAACCAAATTTGAATCTGATGTAGACCTGGCTACATTAAGTGAGATTCGGATGTGTAGATTCAAGCCTGTTCCCATTTGTTGCATTGTTACAGTACATGTACTTGCAATGCAAGTTGCATTGCCTAAAAAGGTGGGCTCACTGGACATCGCCTTTTGTTTACAAATGCACGTAATATTGGCACGGCGCTGTCCATCACCATCTTCATTTTAGAGCCACTAGAGACAAACTT